AAGTTCGGAGCCTCACAGTCTAGTGGGAGTGTCGTGCCTTCACCTTTTAATATTAGTCAAGATGGTACGTTATTTTAATTTATTTCTTTATTTAACAAATAATTTAAATACTTGTGCATTACTTACGGACAAAGCAATCATACTCACAACAAGAAAAATAATTTTTCTTGTGCCATAAATCGAAAAACGGATAGGTGGATTACCTGATGGTAAGCAATCTGCGCCGCCAAAGGCCACTCGTAATACTAAAGCTAAGTACTACAAGTGCTTTATCGGCCTTTAGGGATTTATGGTTTTTTTTTGTCATGGCAAAATCATCTAATGACTTAATAAAGGCGAGAGACAGAGTCAGACTCTTACTGACTAACCCCCCCCCCCCCTTTTCCTTCTCCGGCTCTGGACTGAGGTCGCGGTGCCACATTGCGCTTACCCCGCAACCCCGGCTGAACATCAGCCCTTTAGGGCCCCGTCTGTGGTGGTCGAATGGCTCTTCAAGGCGCGCGCGGAACGCTACGCGCCGTACGCTCGGGTCTGATTCTGGTCGGCCGGCGAGCTACCCTCACTCGCCGTAATACAACTGGTTCTAGTTATAATTCTTCTTGTCCCACATTTTAATGTTATATAATATTTAAAATACAATCGGTGATATTCCCCAGGTATTCTGATGACTGCCCACTACATGGCGGAGTATAACCAGGACAGGTTCGTGCTGGACATCATCGCGCAGGAACTCGCTCCGCCGCATCGACAGGCCAAAGCTCAAGTCTACGTGAGTACCAGACAAATATCTATATCACTAGAGTACTTAGTGCAAGTTGACTTTACATTTTGTTTGTGAGGTTCCGACGTTTTGATTAGTCGCTCAAAATTAACCAATCAATCGAAAAGCATAAAGGTACCGATGTTGTGATTGGATTAACGTATAAATAGTAAACTCTCGGGTCTTTCTTTATTTGTAGATCACACTAATTGTTGTTTGGGAATTGGGACTAGAGCCACTCTTCTTGTCATACAATTTCCAAAAACATTATTAAAAATACATATTTATAAAATATCTATTTTACATTCTACAACTACTAGGAATTACACGTTTTATTTAAATATTTACAATAATACAACCTAATTTTATAATACTCGGGCTCTCTTTCGGGCGGTTTCACTTGCTGCTCGGCTCCTACAAATCGTAGCGTGATGTTTTATGATGGACATTAGCACTTTGTAACAAAGAAAAAAACTCTCCACCTTTATAATATATAAGTATAATAAATATAATAGGTATAATAAGTATATAAGTATAGATTTATCGACGGCCCTGTTGAGTCTACCCACCAACACGCTGGGTGAGCCAGTCTGCTCCAGCTATCAGCCATCCAATTAACCATGTTTTCGTAGCGGAACTACCGTGGAAATACCTCAACCTAGCGCCGCTGACTAAAGAACATTTTATACGCATGACGACCTAACAAACTTGTAACCTGTTTTGTTTATTGTGTAGGTGTGGGTAATAGACCGCAGCGCCCTGATCCGCATGGTGGTGTCCCGCGGGTGCGGCGCGGCCGTGGGCGGCGTGACCCAACGCCTGGCCGCCGCCGCCGCCGCGCGCCTCGTGCCCGGCCGACGCCTGCCGCTCGTACAGGCCGACCGACGATACGACGACTGGTGAGTGTGATATTTATATTGATAATTTTGACCAAAATAATACTGTATTTTCCAACTAGTCAAATTCATTACTTTTATCCATATTTCAAAAACGATACTTTTTTATCAAATTTGTATGAAAAACTGAGTTATGACGTCATAGTATTGTGGTGTCAAATAGCTTACTTATTTCTTTAAAATTAGTCCAAAAATATCAAAAAATAAGTGTATCGACAGATCGATGAATAAAATTATAATAATTTTTCAATATTTTATTGCATTGAAACGTCGAATTAATTTATTTTTGGTCTCTTACTTGATATGTCTAAAGCATATGATAAAGTAAATCATTCAATTTTACTGAAAAAGCTGGATGGAGTTGGTATCAGAGGAGATATACTGGAATGGCTTAGTTCCTATCTTACTGACAGACAACAATGTGTGCAGATAGACTACATAAATTATGACACATGTGAATTTTTAAATGTCCTGTCGGATACCCTAACCACAAACTGGTCTATACCACAAGGCAGCGTGATAGGCTGTATACTCTTCCTCATCTATATTAACGACCTGCCGAAAATATGCGACCATCTATGTGTGCTGTTTGCTGATGACATCTCCATTCTCTTTAAAAGTCCTCCAAATAGTGCAGAATATAACTCCCAAATAATTAACACCTACAACCTCATAAAGTCTTGGCTCTTAAATCATAACCTTGAAGTTAATAATAAAAAAAACAAAAATCATACAATTCAAACCGTATCAAAAACAAAAAATTAACCTGAATTATGTTACCAGCACACTTAAAATAGAAGAAGTAGAGGAATTTAAACTTTTAGGCATCACACTAGACTCCCACTTAAATTGGAAAAAACATGTTGACACAACAAAAATAAAACTGTCACAATTCTCATATGGGTTAAATGTATTAAAAACTAATACCAACGCACAATGTGCTCTAACTGCGTACTACGCATATGCCTATGCGTGGCTACGCTACGGTATCATCATGTGGGGCCACAGTGTCGATGCTAAAGATCTCTTTATTGCTCAAAAAAAATGTCAGCGAATTATTTATAACATTAAACCTAGAGATAGCTGTAAACCATATTTTAAACGTGAGAAAATACTAACATTGCCGTCCATCTATATACTAGAACTAGCCACTTTTGTGAAAAAAAATATCAAGATGTTTAATTTTAATAAAAACGAACGCCGGAAAAACAAATTAATCTTACCTGCACCTAGACTACAAATGTATAAAAATAGCCCAGAATACCGCAGCATTCAAATCTATAACAAGTTACCTGAGGAAATACGGTCAACCAAAACTCTCTGTATATTTCAATCTAGAATAAAGTCCTTACTACTTAAAAAATCTTATTATAGTATTCAGGAGTACCTTGAAGATAAGAATTGTAGTTATAATTGGAAAATTATTCCTCGATTGTAATTTAAGTTTTACGGTGAATTTATTTTAAACTTGTACCTTATAATTATTTATTTATTTTATATGATATTAATGTTCTTTGCTTTTCACTTAATTTTATTATGCTTTTACCTTTTGTTTTCTAATATTTGATTTCGTCCAAGGATTTTGTGTTTTCATACTTTTCATGTGTAAAATTATAAATATAAAATGGTTATTATATAGGTAATAGTTATTATATGGGTAACACTATAGAATTGAATAGTTATTATATGTATAGGTAACAGTTATAGCTTTAAGAAGTACCTAGTAATAATTTTTAGCTAACTTTAATAACGTAGTGAGTTAATGTGAACTATATTTTATAACAATGCATAAAAGTGTTTGTGATATTGAAGTGATAACTAATGTAATAAAAAATATAACATGTATTATTATCTAGTTATAAGTTAAATTGCTGCGCCCTAACAGGGTAATGTACTGTACTGGCTGTATGTTATACTTGACATTATATGTACATTGTGCAATATGAATAAAAATAAAAATAAATAAAGAATCTAGGAAACTATACAATATTCCAAACTATTTAAAAAATATTGCCTCACCCAAAAATAACGTGAGTGCTTTTTCTCCCTCATTCCCCTCTTGGTTAAATGTCGTGAGGTTTTCATCAACCCTCCCCCAACCCCAATATCACGTGAGATTTTTCGGAATGTGAATTTCTTACGCAAACCCGTCGGCTTGTTTTGGTAGAAAGAAAAAAATTGTTTGTTATGTTGTTTCATTTACAACTAGCTGCTCTCGCGTGGTTTCACACGCTGAACATTGTAGCTATTTATCAGTGATAGAATTTTGTCAATCCAACCAACAGTTCCGAAAATTTTACCAATTTTTTTTTATAGTAAACGAAAGAATTAATGAATAATTAAATTATTTTTTAAGAAAATTACGTATTCAAACTTCTTCCTTAGTTTATTAAAACTTCCACTTATCCAAATTATATGCCCCAGAGAAAAATACTAAAATGAATCCTATTCCTCACATTACAAGGTGTGAAATCCACCTGCACGCGGTAGACCCGAGCACGTACCAGGTCCTGCCGGTGGAGAAGGTGCTGGACAGCATCGACTCGAAGTACGACGACCTGAAGGACGTGTACCAGCAGTACGGGGTCGAGACACTCATCGCTGCCAGCGCTACCTCCAAAGGTAAGGTCGAAGGTCATATTTAGTTAAACAACATCTTAATTCATCAACTCTTAGCGAACGCCTAGGTGTGGGAGAGTCATGCTTTGGCACGAATGGGTCGGCTCGACCGGTGTGATACCACGGCCTCACAGAAAACGGGCGTGAAATAACCATGTTGTGTGACTGAGGTTACCGGAAGCCCAATGTTGTTGCGGGTGTCCATGGGCGGCGCTGATTGCTTACCATCAGCCCCATCAGGTAATCCGTATGATCCGTCTATCCCAAGGGCTTTTTTTGAGTATTTTGTTGTATTGTTCCAGCCCCAGACAGCTTCGACCCGGCCCTCGCAGCGCTGATAGCACTTCTCATCGTGCTCTTTACTGGCATCGTCACCTTTATCGTCGTCTGCGCGTGTCTTAAACATTGGTATGTATACACATATTGTTTAGTTTTCCATGTAAACTATTGGGTACAATGGGGTCTAAAAGTCAGACCGAAAGCAGTATTTATTAACGTATAATGACATAATTAATAGACTTATTGCTTCAAACATTAGTGACCCGAAGAATAATTTGGGCGAAGTTCCTTATCGTGCGTTGCGAAAGGGGGTGAAAAAGATAAAAATAAGACGAAAGTTTGTAAGTAATGACACTTTTTGCTATATCGGTCTCTCTCTCTCTCTCTCTTTATCTTTCTCTCTCTCTCTCTCTCTCTACCTATCTATCTCCTTCTCTCTTTTATAGAAAGCAGGTCAGTTATTTTCGTTTTGCCTTTCTTTGATGACGATGATTATTTTGTTGAATGTATGTATTTATGCAAATATTTTTAATTACACTCTATAAATTTTTTAAATAATAATAAAAAAATAAAACATTCACCAATTCATCGAAAGCGGCTTCGTTCCATCGTAGTTCTTTTTTATTTATACATTTCTATTTTTCTAGGGTAATACCGCCGCCATCCCTCCAATCCAGTAAAGGCGACAGTTTAGCCAGACGGCGTATCTTAGAGGAACTGTCGACGACAGAGAACCCGCTGTGGCTGGAGACCAAACTCCGGCCGTACGAGGAACAGGAGCTCACTATGAACGTCTTTGGAGACTTGAATGAACAAACCGCCACTGAACCTGCACCGGTATGTAGAATACCAACCAATACTATGAAATTTTCATTCTATGAATGACTTGTTTCCAAAATTATTTATTTCATTGTAGATTAAAAAAATATGTTTGTAATTGGAATGTAGGTATATTTAAAATTATGGCATATAAAAAATTTGTTAAATCTAGTTTAGAGACTTAGGTACGTAACTGTTTGTCGAGGTAACTCGTCTAGATTCAAACCAATCTAGAGGCCCACAGTCATGAGCAGTATTGCGTGACAAACAACCCGCTAAGCGTCACGGCAATGTTTAATCAACTTAGTTTATTAGCTATTTTTATTTAAAAAGGAATTTCGCATTTTGGGATTTTTTTTGTTGATCTACTGACATAGAATAATTAAAACAATAACATTTAAGTAACACATTACTCAACATTTCGCAATAAGAATTGCATCTTTTGCATCAAATAACTTCTCCCGCCCTGGGTGAACTGACAGGGAGTGTCTCACCCTTACTGACTTAAATCACCCCATTCTTTGTGCTTGGGCCTGGGACTCGCTACATTATTTTGCTTGGACCATAGTATCTATATCAAAATTATAATTTTACCCAAACGCTTAATATAATATCTAAATATACAATACAATATTGCAGACGGACAATACATACGCGACGATACAGGGCAGTCGGACGACCGAGAGGTTTGGCGACTACGCGACGCTGGGCGGCGACTCGCCCACGCCATTAGAAGCTGCCCTTGGATTCCAGGTATTATGATATATTTAACTAAAACTGGTAAACATTTTACTGAAGTTGGCATGGCTGGGCAATCACCTGCTGTACAACGCGTGTTAGGTTTTCGTACGGAACAACTCTTTGAGTGATCTACAAACTGTTGTACCGGGTCTGGGTGTAATGTGGATATAAAATTTTATGTTTCTAAGCGAGTGCACTTGAGACTTTTTTTGCTTACAAAAAAACGATACAGGAGAAAATCATAGTGTTGGGCAACTTCTATTTACAATGCTCATAAAGGAATCCATGAAAGAAATGTATTTCGCGATTAGATTAAAGGCAAGCATATGATTGCCGTTCACACGAACTACCGTCACATCGGACGAGTAACGAGTACGTGACTGGCTTTTAGATACTGAGCAGGACCTCTAACACGCCTACTCACACGGCGAAATTCAACGGGAATGTTGGTACACGCTTTTATTTACTTAGTGTCGCTCTTGATTGAGCTGGCTCATTTGTGCCAAAGCATAGATCTCTGGTAACTTAAAGTTCACGATAAATGATATATATTTTTAATTATATATGTATGTCATATTTCCAGGGTAGCACATTCAAACCGCCGACTCCAGACACGCCGGAACCTCCACCCAGACCTTCAGGGTTAGGCGCACTCTGATGGTAAGTTAACATTTTTATACTACTACAAAGAAAGCAATAATTTTATTATTAAAATATGTGTAGTAATATTTTCATGCACTGCTTCGACGATACCCTTGATTTTGAAAAACACTATGACGTTATAATATATTTAGAAATTGTATATACATTCATAGAAAAGTATCGTTTGTAACATTTCAATAAAAGTATTAAATTTTACCAGATTGATTAAATCAGCCTTACCATCTGAGCCAGACCATCAGCATAATATAATTATAGATTTAAACATTAAAGTTTTTGTTTCTCACTGTTGCAGATACGTCGAAAACAAAATGGTGGAAGATAATAAATGCTAAGTGTAAATATACGGTAACTAGTTAGTGCATGTTGGCAATGTGTTATAACATAACATTAACGATATTACTCGTTTTGTAACATTTTGAGAAATGTTATAAATACAAATTACCAGCAATAAAATTTCGCAAATTTCTTTTACGATTGTTCTCAATAGTAGCACAGAATTGTAAACTGCTTACGGCAATGTGCTTTTTTGTTTAGGGCAGCGAAAACTGAATATTACAAAAATTTTGCGCTTTGTTATACAAATGTTATAAAACGAGTAATTTATCAAAACACGATGTAAGACTGTCTGAAGATAATATATAACATATATTTTTGTTACCATTTTATTAAAAAAAAATACTATTTTCTTAATTGTGATACATTGACAACGTCCATTTATATTGTTATTTAGGAACAAATTCTTTATAGAAACTATTTTAATATTGATATTTCTAGATATTGTTTTTGGGAGAATGTTTATTATTTACTACATATTTTGAAGTCCGTTAAACGTTTACCTACAAAAATTCAGTTTTAATTAAAATATACGTACCTATCTCTATTTTTTAGGGTACAAACATACCACTTAGAAATGAAAAACAATTTGTCGATTACAAAGAGTGTGAAAAACTCCGCGATACGTTGCACGGTCGCCATTGCTTCAATTGTGTACTCAGAATTCATTAAGAATATTCATTTATTTAAAATGAGAAAAGCTATTGTTCTTCAGAATAATTTAAATAAAACTTCTCCAATAGAGAAAATATAGAAATTCAATCTATAGTTAGACTAAAAAAATCTACAGTAAAACCTTAATACCTATTTTAAAACTAGACTCTTCCTGAATCTCATTTTATCTTAGCCAATCTTTTAGACTTTATTTCTAGATCTGTAATATATAAATAAATAAATAAATTATTCCCACTTTTCTTATAATGATAACTGCCATATAAATATATTGTAAATGACAACTAATTATTGTACAAATTACAATATTTTTTAGGACGATTTTTTTTGTAATGTATACTTAAACTTAAGGGACCAATTTACATATGACATATTTTTGTAAAATCTACCTTTTTAGGAAATGTGCTGGCGCATTTTTATAATATATTTTAGTAACAAATTACTAAATACAATTAATTACAAATACATAATTATATTAATATACGAATATACGTAGCATTTTTTACTTGACTTTTATACATATTTTTATAAATATCTATTTTATATTTAAATCGATTTAGAAAATTGACACAGATATATTTATTATGTTTTTTGAGCAATGGAGAAAATGGTATTTGTTGTTAAAATTCTTGTATGATTTATTCAAATGATTATATTGTTCAGTCAGCTCCCGGCAACCATATTAGAATGATATTATTTTTAAAACTTGAAAATAGACAATTATTTACAGATTTATTGTAGTTTTAGTAAAAAACTTCAATAATATTCTATTTTGAACTTTATCTCCAGCAGTTTTATTTACGTATCGACAAGAATACTTAAAATAAAGCTGTGATCAATTATTGATATACGTACTATAGAAATATTTTGAGAAAATAGTGCGAGATATACCGGCCAATTTTAGTCCAAACAACTTCTTGTAATAATTATCTATTTCTGTGTCAACGTTTGCGTTTGTTTCACAATATTTAATGATTCTTATCTCATACATAGTTTGACACAATTTGTGTGAAAAATATGTAACTTATCTGTCAGTAAGACTAATACAATCTTAACCATTCATAATAGGTGAATGATGATTCAGTAAAAAACAAATAATTTCAATAATTAATGGCTGATTTTTCAATAGTCAGATAAATGTTATCTGAGGAATAAAATTGTTGCTGTCACTGTCTTATACAAACATTCTGACGCGACAGCATCATAATTATTTCCCAGGTAACTTTTATCTAACAATTGAAAAATCTGCCCTAATTAATGTAATAAAGTAGGTTCTATATTCAAATTTATGTGCGACATAGAAGCTATTGCTTTATCATTGTAAAACAGACCCTAAAGCTTACATTGTTTAAGAACTATTTTGTTACTACTCTTTACTTACGCCTTTCTTGTTATGTGGTCAATTAAGTCCCTTAAATAATTATTGTAAAATAAATTAAATAGTCAGTAAGTTAAGTACCAAGTTGTAAATAATTATGTTTTTATACCCTCGAGTATTATTTAACAACGAAAGAGCAATAAAAAGATTTTTATATCGGTATTGCATTTGTTTTATTTTATATCTTTTTTATATATATTATATTTGGTTATTTTTTCTATTTACTAAAAATCCGTACTTAAAATACCTTAACATTATTTTTTTTTAATTTATAATGAATATCAATTATAATTTTTCTACGCCGGAAACTGTAGTACATGTGCACTCTGTTAGACCAATATCTGTAATACCATATGCTAAGAAATAAAAGCATTCTATTCTTCTTAGGCAATGGTTTTGTGAAAGATATAATTTGCTACATAATTTTTCTATTCATTTTGTTTAAAAATTCTACCCAGATCCAAACCAACAATTTGTGGATCACACTGAGTTTTTCTCGCGGGCCCTTTGCATAGCCAAATAAGCCACCTTGCGGGCATTATGCTAGATTAGTCAGGAATAAGATATGAAAAAGAAAACTCATTGATCAAGTCATTTGAAAATACAAGCTGTAGGTACTTGCCTCAACACGTCAAATTGCCAATATTGTAAAAGATAGAGATTATTATAAAATTCATATTGTTTTCATGTAGTTTTATTTAATATGAATATAGATTACCTAAGTACATTAAAATCACGTTTTAATATTGTAACATTTATACAGGGTGTCCAAGACCGCTCGTATTCTTTCCAAGTACCTTGACAGCTGTGTTTTCAGACATTCTTCGAGATCCAAGAGTGAGGAGTTGTAGTAGGCGTATAGGTCATTCATTGTACCTAGTTTTAGAAGAACTAGCCGATGGATTACTTCGTCGAAATTGTCATTTTGCATCTGAAAAAATAAATATTATTATCGTAATTTTTGTGTGTGGTAATACACGACAGAGATGGGCCCAATATGGGGCTAATGTTCAGCCCGGGTCAACGTGGAGCAGGAACACGAAAACGGAAGTTTTCAGTCAGTGAGAGTGGTACTCCCTCTTGGCCCACGACGAGAGAAGTCGATATAATCCCCTCCCCTCCCAAAATAAAACCCATAGACATTGGTTTGTGATCAGTAAAATTGGGCCGTAACTGAAGTAAAGATAATTTCAAGCTTTTATTTTAAATATCTTTATTATAATCTTTATTATAACCCTGTTGCCTTTTAAAACAGGCGTATTTAATTTGTTCTTTCCATTCACGGGACCACAGGTCCCCGGACCTTTGGAAGTCGGACGAGGAGCCGAAGCCAACTCGCAGAGGCCCGTTGAACAGTTATAATATAAATGTGATGGGATATCAGCCGGTAAAAATCCCTGTATGCACTATAAAAGTGTACCCAAGGACAATCCCCGGTTGATGCAGGACTATTGTGAAATGTGGTAAAAATTGATGGAGTTATGGGTAGGGGTTGCTATGGACATGGATGAAAACTATGGAAATACTATGGCCCCTGCCACATGCGTATTATTATGTAATAAGAGACTATACTTACGTATCTAACCAGACACTGATGCGTCTCCTTTGTGTTGCCAACATACTCATCGTTGCATAGATTCTGTAAGTATCTGTAGCCTTTTCGCCAGTTCGCTATCTGAAATGAGAATTTTTTTGATAAGACTTAATTCATTAGGTGATTCAAAATGTTAAGTTTTTAATTTAACACAATTTTGTGCAATGTTTTATGTTAATAGGTAAAGGTAGTTTAAGTGTAAGAGAGTTATGTGTCTGCAGATATGGGCCGGCTCTACCAGCTTGATACCAGGGCCTTCCGTATACCGACGTGAAATAACTCATAACGTTGTGTATCTTTAAGTGCGAGTGAGGTTACTCAATCCCTTACGTATTCCTTTTCCTAACAATCCTTAAAAGGCCTGCAACGCACTTGTTACCTCTATGGTGTTGCTTATGTCCCAGGGCAGCGGCGATTACTTATCATCAGGTGTTCCATCTGCTCGTTTACCGATCTTTACCTAACAAAAAGGGCCAAACGAGTTGACTGATAGCGACCCTGGACAGTCAATGCAACACCAGAGGAGCTAAAATCGCATTGTTGGTAATAAAAATACATCCTATTCAATATTTTATAATTAACTCAAAGAGATGAAAGTTTATAAATTTAGAAACATTTCATTTCAATCAACCTAGTATGACAATTTTGTTGTACGTATAATCATTGGTCACCTGTTTCTCAATCTGCTCCACGTTTTCTCTCATGGTAACGTCCTTGGAGGCGGCAGTCTTCAGACATTCGTGTTCGTTGTCGTGGTAAAGCCTAACAGTTCTCCTGGTTTCCTTCCTGTGAGCGTAGAGGCAGTTCACCCACTGAAATTGTCACTGAAACTGCAATTACTTTCATAGACTGAATGAAGCTGATTAAGTCTTCCTGCATTTTTTTGTTGTAGTTATGAAAAGAGTGAGTTCGAGGTTTTAGTACAGGTTTGGGAGAGGTTTGTTTTGTTACTAGCTACCCGCCCTGACTTCGCACGCTGCAATGCTGACACTAAATATCTCCACTTTTTAATTGATGTTAATATAACTAAGTATAAAACTTCGTCTCCAATCAAAATCCATTACGTAGTTTTAAATATTTAACCATACATCTGTATGTAGCGGCAGAGAGAGCGACTTTGTTTTATACTATGTAGTGATTGTTGGGAAATGAGATGTCCATTAAACTAAGCTTGGCTCTTAAGAACCGTTACTTACGTTTGGACATTTTTGTTTCCTAAATAGCTGTATTTTAACTGCTGTATTAAAAGATTTCAAGATCACTGCGAATAAAAACGAACTACATTTTAATTAAACATTTGCCATAGTTATCCACTTAATTTACCTCAATATTACCATTGCCTCCTAAGCTATGTTCCTGATGCTTCACCATCTGCAGCCGGTACTTCATGCTGATGTCCAGCCGTTTGATCTGGAAATCATCAGCCCACTTCTGCATCAGCTTTCTGTCATCCTTCTGCATGATCTTGGATGAGTTCACATCCAGCTCGTATTTGCGGATGAAGAGGGTCGTTTGTGATGGCTGGAAGGTAGAAGAATGTCATTGGGTAGGTATAAAGGAACTAGTAATAACAAAAATAAAACTGTAATGTAGTAAATAGATTTGTTGCTAACTAGTCTATCGATTAACAATGCAGTTTTTCCAGGATTTTCTCCTGTATTGCGACTGCGTTTACAGACATACAAATTCATCACACATACAAGCCGCCCAGACCCGAACATCGATTTGTGGATGACACAAAATGTTGTTATTCCGTGTGGGAATCGAACCCGCGACACGTTGCACAGCAGCCAGTTACCCAGCCAGTGCGCCAACCGTGCAGTCAAAACACCAATATTCTAGTAAAATCTTTAAACTAGCGATGTCTCATATTACAACTAACCATACCTGTATAAAAGCTACTGGTTTCGTTAACATCCCAAACTATTTCTTAGTATTTTCAAACTTATCTACTTTAATATATTCGAAATATAGAATCTAGACCACCCAGGACAAACAATAATAGAACAACAATATAAACATAATTTACTTAATTTCTAATTGATATCACAATAATTAATAATATGAAAGTACTTACCGCACAAGTAGCATCCCTAAAGAGTACAGGCAACAGAAAAATTAATAACTTAAACAACATTTTAATTTTATTAAAATAATTAATTACTGATGTAGACTAGCCGAGTGTCTATAAGACATTGCGTTATCAGAATAAGCTTGTATGACTTTACAAGTAAAGTTAGCATGTGTTTATTTATATTAAATACTAATTATAATGTTGATACAAGAAGTAAAGAAATGAGGAGCTAGACCTGGGTGACGCATAGGGAAATAACGTTTTTACACAAACGTGCTTGTGCATATATGTGTGGGTGTGTGTGTCTCTCTCTCTCATTCACTCTTTCTCTCTCTCTCTCTCTCTCTCTCTCTCTCTCTCTCTCTCTATGTATGTGTGTGTTTTAATTGACAAATTAAAAAAGTTTTATTAAAAAAGAAAATCAATAGCAAGCTGCTGGATTTCCAAGACGTCCTACTTTTATGGGAAACGAGCAGATCAAATACCTGATGGCAATGCTACATCCTTAGTGTGTAAAACGGGATACTAGTACTAGTTCCACTTCTTTCAGTTTGAGCTCTTTCTCTAAACGGAACGCTTCTTACTTTCAGTCAAAATTATTAAATAATTACATTTGTGTACCTATATTAAAAGTGGTTTTTAAATCAATCTTGAAAGGCTTACACGTACACGACAGTCCGATATGGATGAGTTACAAGCGCACTAGGTACCAACCTTATTGAGGCCTGGGGGATTTCGGGATTGGAGATAGGTAGAGAAGAGATTGGGCCTCCGGTAACCTGACTAACACAACGCTGTGGTTGTCTCACGCCGCATTTCTATGAGGCCGTGGTATCGTTTCGATCGAGGCAGCCCATGCATGGCTCGCCCACACCAAGAAATTATTAATGTGTATCGTTTACTACCTCTGTACCTAACGGTACTGCATACATTGATAACCCGGGGTTATCGGTGCACAGATTGAATTAATATTTATTTGCGTGCACTGACTGCAGCGCAAGGTCGAAGTAAATATTTTATCATTACGTATGCATTTATATTTTGCTTCCTTAAACTTTAAATGACTTGGTCTTGTGTGTAGGGCCAAGTGTATTAATTAAATTTGTTTTTATTTTTTTAAGAATGTTTAATAATTTTATTCCTTTCTATAAATTAAAATATATTTAACTTATTGCTTATTTTTTTTTGTTATTTCACGCCTATTAAAATAGACAATCATATAAAAATACAATTTTAGGTACAACAAAAATATTATGAAACTAAAAGTTAAAATATAGCAGCAATAGATTATATTATTTAAAGAATACGACTTTGTTACAACAAAAGTTCGTCTGATTGTACGTTCGTACGTAATTTTTTGGATTATGGCTCCCTTCCTTGTTTTTCTTCGTAAATCGTAAAATTAAGTTAATATTACGAAGTTTTCATGTGATGGGTAAAATAAATAAACTATGACACAGGATGTAATGTTAAAATACACATTTATTACAAAAATAAATTGTCAAATACATTTCTTTACAATAACATTAACAACAATGATGACGTATTAGTTCATATTTATTTTAAGTAGTAGGTATTATAGAACAAAACTTGTACTTACGTATTTTAATATTGTTACAATCTATTGAATCTATATTTTTGAGATCTAGCTACAGTTAATTGAGGATTAATTGATTTTTTATAAAGAATGACCTTTAAAATTGTATTTATTTTATATATAAAGTTCTCGTGTCACAATATTACTTGCTCTTCTCTTCCGAAACGGCTTTGCTGATTTTCACCAAATTATTTTAGCATATTCAGTAGGTCTGAGAATAGGATACTGGCTATTTTTCAAACTCCTACGTGATAAACAAATATTATTCATATGACAAAACAATAATTGAAGGTCATCTCGTTTTCCTAAAAAAATAATAATTGAATAAGGTTTTCTATTAAAAATGCTAACTAAATCTCAAAATACAGTTGTCTAATAATAATAATACATTAAGTTAAAAATACAACAATTATTTTTTAAAAGCTACATTTAAAACTTAATTTCAAATTAAATTAGGTACACAAAATTATTTTACAAACTATCACAGTGTGTCTGTTTACCGAATTTTAAACTTAAAAAAATATAGATTTTTAAAACAAAATACAATGGTCACTTGTCTTGGCATTTTTTTCATTCGTATCTTGAATCAATTTATTGATAAAGTGTATTTAAATAAAAGTTTTTAAAAACTAAAATAGTATTTCGGATGCATAAAATATACAGTGTCAGCCACGAATTTTTTGTACTTAAAGACATGTTTTTTTACATATTTAAGTATTTTTAAAGACGTTGGGCCATGTTATTATTTTTTTTCGTGTCATGGGTGCGTTTTGTATTAGTTACGTACAATTTCACATACAAATGTGGATTGAAAACAACAATTTGTAGATCACACAAAATAGTGTCCCGTGTGGCAATCGACCCCGCGACACGTTGCGCTGCCGCCGATTGTCCAGCCACCGCGCCGTGCGAAACCTTGCCAAACATACAATCGAAAGTATGTAATTTTTTTAAGACAAGTCCTCATTGTATTTACCTAATCATTTAATTAAAAACACAAATAACCAATCTCATAACCCAATTCGACACTCAATAACCAAAAAAAAAAAATTATTTTTACAAATTTTAAAATCTAAACAATTTTGAGTTTTCTTACAACTACGTACAAAGTTAATTTTTGGATGAAGCAATTAGAAAAAGTCATAAATCCCATTTTTCAACGTGAATATTTACTTAAATTATTTTTAAATATTTTGCTTATATTATTTTAGACTTTAAAATAAGTATAATTTGAATTGATTTTTGTACTTTAACTTCAAAAGTCTGGGGCTGTCCCGACCCCGTGGACTTGTGTGTACTTAATTTAAACTATACTGGATCGTTTCGTTCGCTAAAACCCTAATTTGAATTTCGAACAGTGATAATAAATTTTATCCGACGTTTTTATGCGTATTTTTTTTTGGCGACATTCTTTAATATATTTACGAACTCCCTGTAGCGGGCACGTATCGATATTAGTGTTGTGTATCATCTACTCTTATCGATATTCCAATTTTGAACACTTACCTAGTGTAGGACCATTAAATACTTTTAAATATAGATTATAATTAATACTATAATTAATGGTTACACATGTCAATCTCATTAATTTCACTGACTCTAGTTACTCAATGGCGAATAATTTTACACTAAATTAACTAATATGACACTATAGTTTCAGCTGACTGATCTTCTAAGAGATTTTTTATGTCGAAAGTTGCAGATCCTAGGGCACACAGTTTAAAACTCTTCAGATTAAGTATATATTTACTAAATAGTAATTTTAACTGTCACTAGGTAGCTAATAATAACCGTATATAACTAATATCCAGTATTTTTGGTAGTCATTTCCAACATTTTGATTTAAAAAAGGAGGTATTTAATACCACAATTTATACAATAATCGATTCAGACTAATGAAAACGAATACATAATCGCTGTAACAATGGACTAGGTGGGTATCATTAGACCAACTAAATTTCAAAGAAATCTTGCTACCAATGTACCAAGTTACTTACATTCTTGGTTGGATACTTGATAATTTATAAAAAAAAACATATGCCACGGAAACGCTCTTCCAAAAAGGTCAAGCAACTTTCGACCCTATTCAAACTAAGAACCTATCGTAACCTCCTCCTAGTTATACAGTATTTGTAATCTTCCATCGCGTCCTTGGACCTGACGATGATCTGCTTCTTCAGATGGTTCAGTTTCCGACGAGCATGGGACACCAGATCCCTATAAGAGCGCCTGGTGAATGGGATATCGTCTCGTACTCGGTGGATTTCGTCAAGGGCTAAGCGACGCCAGCGCCTCACGCGTGGTGTGGTCTGAAAGAGAAATTCAGGTTGGAATTAGAATTTAAGTAAGTAGATATTATTAGACTTTGATAGGGTTATTATTTTCTTTTGTATATTTTTCATTACTTTGTTCGGCTAACGATCAGACGGATTACCGGGCACTCGTAATACGAAAAGAGTTATTACAAGTGCGTTGCCGGCATTTTGTGGGTTGTTAAGGATTTACGGATAGGGAGAGGATGGGGGGAGGAAAGGATTGGGCCTCCGATAACCTCACTCGCACGTTGAAATACAACGTAAGTGTTGCTTCAAGCCGATTTTCTGTGAGGCCGTGGTATCGGATCAAGCCAGCCCATTAGTACCGAAGCTTGGCTCTCCCACACTTAAATTTATTTATTTTTTTTTTTTTTTTTTGATTAAGACGGGCCGTAGGACTCATATTGACTAACACTACCCTCTCTCTAAACTTCTAGTGCTCGTGCCAGTGTCGTATCATTAAGTAATGTCTTGAGACGTGATCAACACGATGAGAAGACAACAGTATTCTTGCGCTTGACCTACAACCCCGGCTCAGAAGTACAAGATTATTTTTTAGGGAACAGATAGTAAAGTTCCCTAAGATCGGAAGAGGAGGAACCTTCGACCAGGCGAGATGGTGAGCCTAGCCACTGCCCTTTTTTTGTGAGGGGAAAATCATCAAATGGCTTGGAGAGAGTGAGAGTGTCAGACTCTTACTGACTAAAAACCTCCCCGTTCCTTCTCCTGCTCTGAGCTGAAGCCACGGTGCGTAATTGCGCTTACCCCGCAACCCTGGCTACTGCCCTGGAGTGTTTAGGTAAGAGATATTTTATTTTTGATTTTGAATAAAAACTTATTTGTAAGAAACTAAGGTTCTTTCAAGCATGGAAATAAAATATAGGACTAAAAAATAATTTGAGTATTGGCATTTCAGTGAAGGTCCAGTGCGCTTCCTGGAATGGAGTCTGTTAATGTCATAGCTCTGCGAATTAGCAAACAATACGTTAAGCATTCACAGCTGGTTCCATTACAATTAATTGTTACACTTTCTCTTTTAATCCCAGGGCTACACTTGTTGTTAGAAAGTGAATTAAATCATTATGGAAATAAATATTATATGAATCGTGAGACATGCCTACTTAACTTATCGAAAATAACGATTTATTGACGTGAATAGTCGGGAGCGCGACGTCGCTGCGACGCGCACGCTACTCATGAATAAGAGTGTGTTTGTGAGTAAGTCATTCTTTTGAATTAATCTTAAGACTAGATAAATTTTAAGACTTAAACATACTTTCAATTGAAACATAAAATCATCAGCCCGTCTTTGTCCATGGCTGGACAAAAGCCGCTCCACTATAACTTTTTTATGTGATAGGACGGAAAACGAGCAGACGTATTACCTGATGTTAAGCAATCAGCGCCGCTCATGCACACCCGCAACAGCAGAGAAGTTGCCGACCGTTAAAGAGGGTTAGAATTGGGGAAGTTTTGGGAGAGGAATAAGATTGGGCCTCCGGTGACCTTAATACATCGCTGTGGTTGTTCCACGCCGGTTTTCAGTGAGATCGTGGTATTACTCCGGTCGAGCCGACCCACTCATGCCGAAGCATGGCTCTCCCAGTTTGAAATATACATTGTTGGATCGTAGCAAATATACCCAACGTTTTTTTAAAGGTAACTGAATATTAGAAAAGTTCTTTCTGCAAGTAAATGTGTGCCTGTGTACATACCTCACATGACAAACCACAGCCCCTGGTAGCTTTATCACATCTCTTCAAGTAATCTTCACTCTGAAATATAGAAAATGCTTCATCAGTTACTGCAATAGTTGGTCATCAAACGAGGGCGAAAATCGATGATAGGAAAGGTAATTTAAATTGAAAATAAATTACATACAGTTTGCCTACAGCAAAAAGGCGTTATATTCCTTTTGTGGGACGATTTCTTTCCGTTTTGGGTACCGAAATACGGGTCTTTCTTTTTCAACGGTGAAAATTCTCTCTCTCTTTATTAACCCGGATAATTTGAAGTGGCTAAATTGAATTAACTGTAGCTTATGGTACAGACAAGGAAAATCTAGATTATTTTTAGATAGGTAGTCAACGTGTCTATAATATCCACATTCCAAGCTTATTATAACGCGGAAATTGAAAATATAACATTTTTCATTACATTACATTTCATTAAGATTGTCAACAAAGTTCACTCATTCTCCTCCATTTGAATTTACATTTTGGAACGCGCACCCTTTGCATTACTGACAGACAGTCTTTTAGACTATTCTATCCTATTTTTGACTATACAAAAGTGATCTTATGAGTGTGTATATATGTATATTAGGTATGTACCTAATGTAAAATCTTTAATTTGGACTCTGCGCTGCTGGCCGGTCTCTATAGAAGATATTATTTTCCCTAAGTTTTCTCTTTTGACACTCGTGCCACTAAATAATACTTTGGCAAATATATTACCGACACGACACGGTGTTTTATTTAAAATATTACTTAAACTATGTTGTACTAGCTAATCCCGCACGGTGTCAACCGCTGCTTGGCTCTCATTGGTCGAAACGTGATTTTTATTTAGCCAATAGACTTCCTCGATACTTGGTCACAAATACATAGAACCAGTTGTTTCAGAGATTAGCCCGTTTAATCAAACAAGCAATCTCTTCAGCCTTGTAATATAAGCATAGATAGATATTTAAAGACCAGACCTTATTAAGATGCATCCTGAACACAATCATATGTCCCAGCAAGAACTTATGATGGCTGTCACCACTGAACATGGCCGCTCTCTGTGCATCATGCTCCACCTTCTTCACCCGGTACTGGAACTTAACCCAGCATTCGTCCACCTGTAAAGACGAGAAGAAGTATTATTAAAAAAGATTAAAATTACTTTTATGACGTACTAGCTACTCTCACGCAGTTTCACCCGCTGCTGGGCTCCATTTCATCGTAGCGTGATGTCTTATAGCCTATATATAGCACTCAGAAACATTGTAGCTATCTATCAGTCAAAGAATTTTGGCAATCCGACCAGAGGTTCCAAAGATTACCCCCTACATACAAACATACAAATACCTCTTTATAATATTACGTATAGATAAAGTTGTCGTAAGTCTAGAATACATTATTTCATTATATTTTAAATGTAAAAAGAGCCAAGCCTCTACACAATTCTTCCATCGTAAAGAGTTTTGAGATCCTATAGAAACCAAGACCAGTACAACAAATTTTATAACAACAAATCAATATCTTGTGACTACATTAGTTTTGTTTATATTACAATGACAGTGACTACTGAATTGGATATCACACTAAAAAACATAAAACCCTAGCTTTGTCCGTATCGATGATACAGAGTGGGTGAAATAACCGCGAAATGCAACGTGAAAAGGATGGCACGGCCTCGCACGTTTTACTCAAGACTTGGCTGTGGCACTGCCTTGCCCCCAGATAGAATGACTCTTCGATGTTACAGGTATCTATTGCTTATCATCAGGTGATCCATAAAAAGAGATCCGATCAATAAACGGTGAGTTTTGTCACAGAAATCTATACTATCTATACTACTTATATACTATTATACTATAATATAATATAATAAATGCGGAAGTAACTCTGTCTGTCTGACTTTTCTTCACGCCTAAACTACTGAACTGATTTCTATAAAATTTGGTACAGACATACATAATTTGGAACTCGAGAAAGAACATAGGATAGTTTTTATATTAAAAATCTGCAGGATGTCACTATTTCACGCGAACGAAGTCGCGGATGAAGCTAATAAAAAAATTGTTTAATTGCGTTCACGATCTACGACTATTTCTTATTATTTATTACTTTTTGAAACGAAGAATTTTGAAAATCGAACAGTAGCTTTATCTCCGAATTGTATTGCACTTTTGATTAGTCCATCAAAGAGTAGACCAAAGAGTCCCACAATCAAATTATTTATTTAAAACAGCTTGACTATTACGTAGATATGATAATGATATTTACTCTGGAAACCCACCGAAAATACCATAATAACATTATAACAGCTAGTTTATATCCTAATCGACGTACAAATAAAGTTATTTTAGTACCGGTAGCCATAATCTGCTCTAAATATACCGCAAGGCGCAGTATAGGTATGAGACACAGGTCGTTAGGTGTACGAGTATTAAACTTGTATTTTGTTATGACGAAGACAGTCTGTGACGCAACCATTTCATTACCGAGTCCATGAAGTAAGCGAGTTAAAATCAACTCAGTGTAAGAACCAGTTTGTTTAATTTTATTGTGATGGAAAAGTTAATGCGTTAATATTGTTTTTCTTTTAGGACAAGCTTGTCAGAATCTTCTTGAACCGCTGCTTCTACTGTAAGCCAGGATCTAAGTAGATATTAGAGGAGTAGACACCTAAACAATGAAGTCCGGTGCGTCCCAGAGACATGAATGACTGTCTTGGATCCGGCAAAGAAATAAATCAGAAGATATGAGTTGAAGAAAAATAATATATTTTTAATTAAAAAACGTCTCATATTAGCATTTTTGTTCTATGTCGTTGCGTTTACGCACATTACAATGTCACATACACACCACACCACAACAATTTGTGCATGTCACAAAGAGTTGTTGCGGATTAGGTCTTCTTGAACGCCTAGTTTGAGTTGGTTTTACGTTAATGCCATCGACATGACAAACGTAAAAACGATACAGAAGAAAACGTTAAGTGATTGGCGTGTTCAGGTCTTGTTGGTCGCTAAAAGAATATGGTCTTTATAATAATATATCTTTAGGCTCAAGACAGTTCTCATATCAAAACTAGTGAAATAAGTAGCGGATAAATAATTCCGATACATTTTAGTGAGTATATAATTAATTCAAAGTTATACCTTAAGCGTATTATTTTACAGTCGCTACTCTTGTGGCCACACCGCGTTCTCACCATTGCCAAGGTTTACGCGTTGATTGACGCGGGAACATCGATAGTTTATTTATTGTATATTAAAAAATATTTATGCTCTTCCGATATAGTTTATTTTTAAATCACGTTGTAAAGTTCGTCAATATTTTTATTCAGTATCTATAAAGACATTTAGATATCTTTGATTAGGCTTAGCGTATGTAGCGCAATGAGGCCCGCGACCTCGGCACAGAGCAGGAGAAGGAACAGAGGGGTTTTTAGTCAGTAAGAGTCTGACACTCCCTCCTGCCCGGCCCTGGGCGGGAGAAGTCATTTGATGATTTTCCCCTCACAAAAAAAATGCTTAAAAAGATAACGTAGTTATTTTAGTAGTGCATAAACAACTGCATTTCAAATCCCTAGTTTGATGTACCACAGATGTCACAGTTATCTAATAACGGACCAGTTGGTACGTAAAGCTGCCACGACCAAGGTTTGGAAATGGATCGGTGGCATTGATTTATTATTAGGTATATTAGAGTAAATCGTTTACCTTAGCCAAATGGCTATGACAGAAGCTTGGTATACATAATATTGTATTGAACTGGAATTAATTAAGAACTAGCGATCCGACCCACTTACGCGATGCTGGTACTGTTTCATGGAAATTCTTCATCATCATCATCAAACTATAAGTGCCCACTGCTAAGCAAAGGCCTTTTCTCATAGCTCAGCTCTCAAGCTTTGAGGGTTAATCATCACAGTTGCTCAAGGCAGATTGGCGATTTCACACTTTTAATTATTGAATTAGGAGTCCAGTTTTCCTCACGATGTTTTCCTTCACCGTATATCAGTGGTGTCTAAATATTAATAGAAGGTATATATAACTCGGAAAAATCATATGGGTACTTGCCAGGTTTCGAATCCGCACCTACCTCATGCATGAGAAGCGCGCCTTAACCTCCGGGCCACCACAATTATTTTTTTCAACTTATACATTTTATATACATATATTTAGTAACTACATTCTTCACTCAATCTATCTATTAAAAAAAAATAGAATTAAAATCTGTTTCGCAGTTTTAAATATTAAAGCATACATAGGGATAGAGAAAGCGACTTTGTTTTATAATACATACGTAATAATAATATTAATTTATTGTGTCCTTCACTGAACTTTCCTTGTACCAACTTAAAAATTACGTTACACGGACATCAACGTAAGACAACTCTCACATCCTCAAACAAATTCACATATGTATTATAATGGCATATTTTTTTTTAATATTACCAAAATTTTATATGAGTTTCAGACTCTTACTGACTAAAAGCCCCCCTGTTCCTTCTCCTGCTCTGGGCCGAGGTCACGGTGCCTCATTGCGCTTGACCCGCAGCCCCGGCAAGAGTCAGACACTCCCTCTTGCCCCACCCAGACAAACTATATGTATATAATAAGGAACCAGCCTCAAAAAAAAAAAAACTAGTAGATTTATATAAATGATTATCGAAGTTGATATTAATTGCTATAAGTATGCTACGAGCATTTTATTCACACAACATTAAACATGTAGTTTAAATGAAAGAATGCGGTGTATATGTAACCTTGAAATACCTCAGTTATTTTATTGCATTCTTTGTAATCAGAGCGGCCGACTGCCGGATTGATAACGAGTCTCCATTGATAATTGTGCATTTGTACTTTAATTGTCCCATTAGTCAATGAGTATATTTTTTATGGTGTAGGTCGGCAAAAGGGCAGATTACCTGATGGTAAGCAATCAGCGCCGCCCATGGACACGGACCCATAACACCAAAGGAGTTGTTGTAGAGTGCGTTGCAAGCCATTTAAGATTAAGGTTTAGGATATTTAAGGATTTGGAAGGGATAGGGGAGGGGGAAGGATTGGGCTTTCGGTAACCTCATTCACACGGCAAAACACAACACTGTGGTTGTTTTACGCCGGTTTTCTGTGAGGCCGTGGTAGCACTCCGGTCAAGCCGACAAAAATAGTATAAAATAACCTTACTTTAAGAAAGGAGGTAGGTAGTTCATTATTCAAAGGTGTTGGTAGCCTTTTAAATATGGGAGAGCCATGTTACGGGACGATTGAGCCCGATCAGAATGATACCACGGCCTTACAGAAAACCGTCGTGAAATAACCTCAGCGTTGTGTTTTGCCGGGTGAGTGAGGTTACTGGACGCCCAATCCTTCTTTTCCCCCAATCCAAAAATTACCGAAACCCTAATCCCCAAAAGGCCAGCAACAACGCAAAAAAGAAACTCTTCTGGTGTTACATGGTGATGAGCAGATGGGCCGATTGCTTACCATCAGGTAAATCCGCCAGCACGTTTGCCATTCTATCACAACAAAAATTAAGTCTAGAGTACTGGAGTAAAATAAAAATATTTTTCTAAACGTCTGTTTGTTTGCGCGTCCATATCTCAAGAACAGCTGGACCAGTTTTTATTGTGTTAAATACTTCTTAAACTCTGCAATATGTTTGAAGTTTTGTAGTTAGGTGATATTTTTATTCATTTTGTTTATCGTCTTGGCATGCATTGAACGCATTTAAATTTATTTTAGATATCCTTTGATCTCTATTTACGATACTAATAAGTCGCATAAATAGTGGCCAAATAAATTATAGCTTTCGTCTGCTATTACGTATGGGTTAATTAAACGTTGTATAATTAACTGTTTAAACTTGACCTGTAAAGAATTATTTCATTTAGACCTGTATCTAGACCGACCTAAGGAAATTGATTTGTTTACGAATTAACTAGCTGTTAATTGCTGCTAGCTGCGTTCGCATGGCGAAAGGAACATATAAAAGTACTTATAAGTTAATTGAAACATTGAAACAATGAATTTATTGTTGCAAATAAAACGACACTTTTACACATCAAATGATTTGTAAAAAACTAGATGAAGCCGGAATTTCCTATGACTACCTACTCTGA